CTGAGCACATTTAGAGGGCAGAAAAATTAAAATTGTAGCCACTTGGTTTTGTGTTTTAGCTTCATATAACTGAAAACCTATCATTGATTTTAATAGGATTTAATGGATGTGAAGCCAGTACTATATATCTGCCTTCTTGTTGACATAATTTACATAATCAGTTATATTTTCAACCCAGGCATATCCCAAGCAAATAACATTTGAAATTTTTACTAGAGAGATGATAAAGATCTCCTGATAGGGACTCAAGAAAGACAAAGCTATGTTCCTGTATCATAATACATTGAGTAGTACATGCCTGTGATAGCTTATACCTATGGATTTCAAAGCACTATACAAACTTTACCAGTTAATTGCTTTGAAATATCTTTTGCTATTATAAATGGAAAATAATAACTTTGAGCAATTCAAAAGCAGAAGATTTAATGTAAATCTGCTTACCTGTTCTCATCAAGCAAGTGGCCTGAGCAAGGTGGGGGAAGGGATTACCGCGTTTTCTTTCATAAAACATTCATGTTTTCTCCAGAATCAGTTGGAAATTGGAGTGCGCAAAATATGCAAAAAATTTGGATTCCCATGGGTCCAGAAAGTTGGTGGCAGCGGGGCAGTGACAATATTACTTTCTGGAGCTTCCAACCCATTGTAGGAGCTACAGCAGATAAGGCTTCCACTAATCCTTTGCCACCAAATCCCTGGATCCCTGAGAAACCCCTCCCCCCACCCCCACTGAATAACATTGCCCTGCAGATCAGATTGGCCAAATCTAGCATGTGACCTCAGACCCAGCGCAATGGATTGGGCCCAGCCCTGGTCTTAGACCTGGAATGCTGGATTGGGCATTGCTTGTGGCCTTAGACCCAGCATGCCAGTTTGGGCTGACATGCCAGTTCAGTCAACAGGCCCTATCCAGTGCATGGGGTTGGCAGCAATCTGAGAAGCAGGCTCTACCCCCTAGCTGCTACAACTCAGTTACTTGCCTGTAGTACAAGGTAAGAACTTCTTTTCTTCATGGTGCCTTTCAAAAACTGGGTTCTTGTTATATTCAGGGGCATGTCATATGTGAGAAAACATGGTAATTCATAATATATATAATTTTTTTCTGTGTGTATGTTTTTTTAATTTTTCATAAGGGATCTGATGCTCTTTGAGAATACTTTTAAAAAGAAGTATCCTCTAACTCTTTTTCTTTAGTTTTTCCCTTGCTATTTTTAATTTGATCTTCTGCTCCTGGCTTTTCAGTCTATTTATTGTTGTACCTTTTTCTCTTCTTCACTGCATGTTTTTTCAGACCTGATCCATCCTCAGTTTTTCGCGTAAAGAAACAATATTTTTATCAGCAGTTGCAAGTCATAACTATAAAAAAAACCAAGCAACTTAAGTAGTTTGTGCATTACTAGGACCTTTATATAAGCATATACAGCTAAGTTCTGTCCTTGCTCTACTACTAATTGCACAGAAACCAATAATATAGTATGTCATGTATAAGGAGGGAGGATTTGACACACAGCATGAATTTAACAGAAAAGGAATAATTTGTTTTTATAGCACTTGAGTCCAAAATAAAATTATAATATTTAGGGCCCAAACTCTGCACTCAGTCTATATGACTACAGCTCCTCTCAGCTGAGGCTAAAGCTTCAGTAGTTGTCCAATACTGTCAGAATACTCTCGTCCACTCTAGAGGAGCCAATGACTAGAAAACAGCATGGCAAACTTCCTTTTTGGATGCTAGAAAGTTGATTTTCTTAATCTTCCCTTATGCATCTAAGGGAAAATCTCCTTTATTACTCTAAATGGTTTGTTTTTAGTTTTGTCAACCTCAATCTTCTTCTTTCTTGACCTTTTCTCTTCAGTCTGTGACTTGTAGACTTATGCCAAAATACATGTTCATGGACCTATAGGAGGCATAAACATAAGACAAGCTTTACAAAGTTGGCTGTCCATCTTTGGTTTGAAACTGGCATATTTTTTTTCTTTTCCTAGGCGCGTGTTGTCTGTCAAAGCTAATGAAATTCACTTACCCTGTAACAACCATGAAGATATTCAGCTTTCCTGCCAACTATAGGACTATGAGACCTAACTACTGCCCTGCAACTCAACAAGGGTTTTTAAAGGCACATATATTTGCATTGTCCTCATCACAGGGCTGGTGTGGCATTTGATAGAGCCACACCTTACCCCACCGTCCCCTGCTGACTAACATTGCCATTTGGTCTATGACCACGTTCTGGGTCCTGACACTCTTTGCTGATGTTCCCCTATCTACTACTCAAAGATTATTGGTTATTCTGTACAAATTAGTGCTGGCAGAGGCTCCTTTGACTTATTTTCCTGTGGGGTCTTATCCATACAGCATTTTCTGGAATAAGTAAAACAACCAAAATCCAAATTCTGTCATATTATCCTATTCTGGTAGGTTATGCTTATAATTAAAAGATTTTGCTGCCCTCCATTTGAATATGTGACCACTGTTGCTCTAGGCCCTTGACAGATTTTAAAGTAAAGATGCATTGAAATCTGATGTGGGATCCTAACAATCACACTTTCTGCCATGCCACGTGTACATGACAGCAGACACAATTGTGGGATCCCATATCAGATCTCATTATGCATTTTGCTGGTGCAGGGGAACCTGATCCAGGGCTCCCCCACACCAACAAGTAGCAAGCTTGACTTCCAGCTGCAGGAGTGCACCGTGTGCACCACCCCTGCCTCCCTACAGGCGATGTGCTGTATTCTGGGGATGTGTCAACAGCCACCCTACTCATGAGTGATATACTATAGCTAGAAATCATTTGTGATTTGGGGCATGATAAATAAACACAAGAACACCTAGATCTTACACAGTGTAGATCTCCTTCAGTGATGTCACACTAGTTCTTTTTGGAGACTCAAAATATAACCATTAAAGGAATCCTAAAATTAAACAAGCTCAAGCATCCACACCCTTAGTTCATCTCCACAAACTCAGATCCGCATAATCTATTCCAACTTCCTTTTGGATTGATCCAAACACACAGCAGTAAATTTATGAATCTAAAAACTTGTGTGCATGGAGGTTTTGCCCTAGTTCCTACACACTAGGGGATTAGGACTGTAGAACTTACTGTTCCTGATACCATTGTTTTTCAAAGGGGGATTCCTCCCCTCACTCTCAGTTTGTCTCTGCTTTACTGGGCAGCCAATATACTTGATTCAGGACGGAGATGTCTTGCTCCTGGTGCAAGCAGTAGCCTGAAATAATAGTAATGTTCTCCATTAAAATGAAAGAGGCTTCCCTCTGCTTCTTGATGAGTTTAGGTAATTTCATATTTTTCATAGTTTCATAGTTGGTAGGGTCAGAAGGGACCTGAGCAGATCAAGTCTGACCCCCTGCCATGGCAGGAAAGAGTACTGCGGTCAGACAACCCCAGCAAAGTTTTCATCCAGCCTCCTTTTAAAGACCCCCAAGGTAGGAGCCAGCACCACTTCTCTTGGAAGTTGGTTTTCTTCCTGTTGGTTTGGTTGTTCACCTTCTTTGAATCCCAGCATATCTTCTAAACTCCTGAAGATTCTAGTTAGCTAGCCTTAATCAGGGCTGTCCAGCGTACATCATTACTCAAATGTTCAGCTCTTCAGATCTTCTTTGTTCCAGAATGCTTCCCAAAAGATAGGCTTGATTCTCTTGGCCCTGCAAAACCACAAATGAGCTTCTGTAAATGCCCCCTCCTGCGTTTTCTAGATTTAGTCAGACCCAATTTTATACTTGCCTTAATCGGATGAAAATCCTTGGGTATTAGACATGGGCGACTGGTACCACCTCAGTCAGGGGGGCATGTCCAGTCAGTGACTGGGGGGATTCCCCTGTGGCTAATTGCGCTGACTGGGAAGCGGCTGTGGTGCCTCCTGGAAGTGGCCATGGCACTTCATCCGCACTCCCACTCCCTGGCTGGTGCTTGCAGGGGGGGCACTGGTTCTCCCACCTGCCCCCCCGCCTGTCACCTAAGTGGGGAGCATGGTCTGTCAGGGTGTTTACCAGCTCTCTCAGGGGGTGCATGTGCATCCCCATGCACCCCCTACACATCGCCACTGGTACTAGATGAGAGTAAGTTTTCCAGATTCAGGCCATAAATTATGCATAGTATAAAATCTTTCTAAGGGATGAGTCACATCCTTCTTTAGTGGCTAGACCACAAAGGAGACTATCAAAAACTCATACAAGGTATTACTTAACTGAAGTGGTAGAAGGCTACTTTGATACTAAAAGTCCATCATTCAGAATCTGCTAAAGACTTGCTTAGTGAGTGGGGGATGAAGGGTTTACAATACCACAGCCAGAGATGGTGAACAATGTGTGAAGGAAGGAGGAGTAATGATGATTAGAATTATGAGTAGTAATAGAACATGATATAGACTTCTGCTATTGGAAGATTTTACTAGTTTTTGTTTCAAAAATATTTTAAAATGTATTTTAAGTATATTTTTTCAGGAAGCAACAAGGGTCAGGAGGAAAGGAATGAAAAGCAGTGCCAAATATTAACATTTGAATGATTTTGCTTTCCTTGTTTTTCAGTGGTACTTAAAATTTCCACTTCTAAATAAAGAAATGAAGACTTTCAGCAGAGTATTATATATTACAATAAAGTTGTTTCCTGTTTATGT